AGCAAGCACTTCTTCAGTATGCAAAGTCTAATTCTGCATTATGTGGTCTGTTTATTGACACCTCTGGATTCTGTCAGCCTGTTCTGGGTTGACAAAATTTTAGTTAAAAATCCACACAAATCCTCTAATTTGCTGTAGAGTACTTGCTTTAAATATCTTAAATGCTAATGACTCTGTCAGGGAGTGTTTTAAAAATACAAAGTTTAGATTGTTTCCAGTTTTTCACAGAGAATTCAGGCAGATGAGAGGCCAGGCCTGCAAAGACACGTGGCAAAAGATGCATCCTGGATTTACTCCTAGGTGCACTTAAGAGCACATAGGGTTGGGATTCCGCCACTTCACTACCTGTGTCCATGCCTGTAAGAAAAGCCACAGCCTTGAGTCAGTTGCTTGTGAAATGCATGGGAGGAATCGGGTACCTAAGAATAGGAGCTCCAAAAGCTGGTAGAAAACAGTTCACAGAAAAGGGCAACAGAAGGGGTGAAGAACTGGGCACTGCTCTGCACTGGGGTCACAGAGCATGGACACTCTTTTGTAGTTAGATGCCTAAAACTCTCTTGTCATAAACAAACTAAAGGTAAGTAACCTCTGTCGTAACTTCTGTTTTCTGGACTGTTACCCAGCATTACCGTGGAACATTTTTCAGGGATACAGAGCAAAGATTAGATTCCAGGTTTCCCACCTTTGGAAGCACACTTAACAGTCTGTGGAATGTTTTGGGGTGGTCTTACCTTATTATTCCCCTTTGAAGTTGTTGGACTGAGGACTTGATCAGGCTGCCATGTCCAATATGAGCATCCTAGCCCTTGGGCTATAAATTCCACCTGACTCTCTTCAGTAAATGAATAAATAACTATTATGAAGTAGAACCATGTCTTTTCTGAGACAATGAGGGAGATCTGTCTCAATTTCTAGAGAATGAGAGAGGTTCATACAGCTCTGTGAGATAACAAACTTCAGTTCTGGGCTGAGATCAGAAGGCAAGTGGCTGAACCTAGATCTTTCACATCCCTGCCAAATGCTTAAGTTACTTGTTTTTTCATCCTGTAAACTCCCTCTATGGCTAGATTGAATATAACTCCTTTTAAGAAATAACTGTAAGTGTACATGTTACATAGTTTTAGGACTCATTAGTTACTTTTTATATCTATTTTTTTAATATATAATTTATATATATTTAGGTACCTAAACAGGTTTACAAAAACTGACCCAAAGTGACCTGTCCAAACATGTAGTAGATTAGGGAATTGAACCCCAAAATAACAAGTGCCAAATTAATACTGTAATTGCTAGGCCGTTCTTTCTTTTCTACAGTGTTCAAGGAAGTCCTCTCCCTGCTGTTCTCTGAGGCTTCTACTTTAATGTATGACTACCAGAAGAGAAAGGTTTCTGCTAAAGTGTCTCATAACAGTTTTTTTAAAATTTAAAAAACCCCAACAAAAACAAAAAATCCCCAAACACATCCCCCCCACACACACACACTTAACCTAACTGCAGTTGTAGTAGAGTAAAACTTAAAAATTAGTCCAGTTTTCTACAGTCTTGAGTTTGGTGTCCTTTCTCCACAGAACTCATATAGAGGACTAGTGAGAAAGTCCTGATACAGCAGCATAAAGACTTGCATAAAATGACTGGCTCCCTAAACTCTTCAAATATACTGCTTCATTCTCCTGTACTAGTTAACTTAATCAAGAGATATAGCTGAGAATGTTAGTTCCTTTTGTGTTTCATCTTGGATGCTGCACACTCTTGTGATAATGGAGGTGTTTAATATGTAAAGAGAGGAGTGTAAATAAGCCTTCTCTATTCTTTACAGGTATGACAAAAGAGAAGATGTTAAACCAGGAGACCAGTTGATGTTTTCTTACACACACATACTGATGGAAACAAACCCTCTTCAAATATCACATTACAAGACAACCCACAGGCCACTGGCAAATATACCTGGCATCAGTAAAATCGGGTTGAACCTCACTGCACTACCTCCTTTTACTTTAAATTTGAAACCAAAACTAGTACTGTTGGAAAAACTTACTGTATCATCTTGACTGTGAATTTCAATTAAGTCTTTTGATGTAATTTTGTTGATGACTGAATAATCTAAGACAGCAGCAAATTGTCATTCTAGCACTGCAGTTCAGCTTCTGTGGAAAGGCACGGAAAATCTTTGTACTGATTGGTATTCAGCTCCGTCCTGTTTCTCATATAAATATTACAATGCATTCCTAGTCAGTATATACTCAAATACTGAGTTGTATTGTTAGATAAATTTGAGAGAGGCTACCTACAAGTTTAGTGGTATTAAGTAAAACCTGTCTACTTGGTTTGGGTAGCTGTTTCATAACGTAGCACAGGTATGTCCTAATTGTCCTATATAAGACACATAATGAAACAGGTTTGTGCTATGGCAATAACTTGATATGTAATCTGTGTGTGCAAAGATGTATTACTTGATGTATCTGCAGGATTGTAACTCCCTCCGTTGTCAGACTGCCTGTGTGAAATTTAACGATGTTATCAACATAGGAAAGCCATATTCATTGTAGCTTCATCACAATACCTAATTGTGCCCTGTAGGCTACCGAACTAATTAAAGTGAAAGATTCACTTAAAAATCAGTTGAACCTCCTGACAACCACTGTCTCATAACAGATTTGAGTATTAAAGGATGGTTATCTTTATTCTGACAGTTCATGAATAAGCATCAGCTTGGATTTCACAGGAAAAAAAAATTAAGTTTCCCTCTTCTGCTGTAATGATATTATCTTAATTTGCAGTGTAAAAATTTACCTATAAAAATATTCATTTGAATACACTTTAAGAAAATAGGTGATGTTGACCTTTTTTTATTAAGTTGTCCCTTTGCAAAGGAATAATCTGATGTGCCATGTGTTACGTTTTATGAACTAGAATAAAATAGCATGCTCTGTAGTCTCTTCTTTATTAGATGTTTTTGTTAAGGATTTTGTTAAGCCTAGATTGCTGAATGGAACAAGTTAAGGGGTGAACCAAGGAAAAAATGTTAGCATTTTGGTTAGGGCCAGTTTTAATATGATGAGCTCCATTAATGTAAAAAAAATCAGTATTGCTGAAATAATCATGGGCAGAAATCTATTCCTTGCTGAATGAAAACTAGAGCAAAAAATTCTTACTGAATAAAGTGTTTTGGTTTGTTGAATTTTTTGGGGTTGTTTTTTTTTTTTGTTTGTTTTTTGTTTGGTTTTTTTTTTTTTTTTTAAATTCTTAAAGTGTTCTTCATTCAGGAACTACCTTTACCCGTGTACGTTTCAGTTTTTAGGACTACGATTTCTTTTTATTCGCTAGATTGTGTATCAGAGGAACTGATCTGGTTGGGTGGAGCCTGCTCCCCCCGTGGGTGGCTGCTGCTGTTTCCAGGCTGAGCAGATCTGGCACAGGCAGCCTGCAGAACTTGTTCGTCCAGTCTCTCTCTGCTCTTGAAATTGAAATCACTCAAGTATTATCTATTTGATTTGTCTTTGGAAGAAAAGGGCCTCCTCCAGAGCCAATTTGAACATCAAACAATTCACAGGAGACAGAAGGAAGTACATGTGCAAATAGCTGAGAATTTGGAACAATACAAAGGGAAGCTTTTGAGTAAGAATGTAGGCCCTTATGTTAAGCCTAATCATTGACTTTATGTAACCCCCACACTGTAATCTACAACCTAAACTAAAATTTACGCTGCCCAGGTGTAGACAAATGTCTGCACTCCTGAAGTTAGGTGTATAGTTACTCTAGGTTTTCAAATCCCTGGTTGTCAGAATCCCTCTGCAGAAACTTGCTTGTGTTAACTACAGTGAAAACCTAGGGCTATTATGCTTGTAACAAAGGCATCTCAAGCTGACGCCTGAAGTGGCACAGAATACGTGGATTTAGGCAGCTGAAGAGTTTAATCTTGCTGAACGTCAGACACGCAGCTGATTGAGTCCTTCCACATTGGGTCTGGGTGCTACCTGTTGGACTTACACCAGAGATGGTGATCAGCTGTGGTAGTAGTGTGTGCTACTGCTCACGGCCTCGCCACTGATGAAAATGGAACTAATCAACTCCAATTGTTCTGTTTCGTGTATTTATTTGGAGTAGAGAAAGGTAAAATACATGCAAGGAGATGGGAAAGATACTGAATTGCAGTTTTGAGCAGTGCCTGAAGTCTTTTTGGGTCTTGCTCCATTTTGGTCTGCATATGTGGTTCTTGAAAATTGCTTAGATATAAGATCTGCAACCTGTCTGGGTTTGTAGACAAAAGGCTAGATATAACCCATGTACTGCATGCAGCACCAGTGGCTGTATGACTTCTGTGGAGCATGGGTAACCCCCTCCAACATAGGCCATGAATATTACAGTAGATCACACTCAGAAGGGGCAGTTGTCAAACTGTGATGAAGATTACTGCAGTTTTTCCCCCAAAGGCTACTTTAAATAAACAAAGCAGTCCTTGGAATAGAAACGGAAGCAATCTCTCAAATGAATCTTATCATCTCCAAGTCCTGTGTTGCCTTTTGTTAGCCCCACAAAAAAAGATGGAGCTTATTTTCTCCTTTAGTATAAATTAATACTCCGTGTACTTGCATGGAAAAAAGAAAGTGTGGGTTTAAGCTCCCTTAGCTATAAGAGGGCATTGAGGAAGTTTCTCACACCCTCTGCAAGCTTGGAGTATTACAAATTTTTTTGCATTTGAGAGGCATAGGGGTAGACACATAGTAGGTAAGACACACTGAAAACTTGGTTGAATTTTTGAAGGGATTTCAAAAATTTCTCATGACTGCTCACGTTCTTAAAATAAAAATTCCTTTTGGCTTTAGTGATTACAAACGAGCCTAGCTTAGAGTATAGCTCTTCTTAATAAAAGCTGAAATAGGTGAGGGTTTAATTAACCTCAATAAAGGAAAAGACAGTAACATAATTTATAGATGGACTGTACTTCTATGACATTTAAACACAAAATGGAGTTGTAAATAAAACACATTTAATATGTATAATGCTGCTGTAGAACTAAGTTTATTTTAGGACATCTTCTTAAACTCCCCAAAGGTCAAACATTGCATAGCATCACCTTTTGAAGTTTGACTTAATTTCTTACAAGCAACAATATTCCTGTAAAGAGCACGGCTAACAAATTATTTGGACACAAACATGTCACTCTATCTTTTCACCCAGAGATGGTGAATAATCACTATCTTACAGCATGAGATTTAGGACATGTTGTGTTGTAAAACTCATGGAAAAAGTTGTGGAACTCATTGATAGAGAACATTTTTGGATGCTGAAAGTAAAAGCCGCTTCAAAACAGGGTTAAACAGATCACTCCCATCGAGAACTGAAAGAACAAAAGATCAGGGAACAACTCAGAGTTCACAAAGTCTCTAAGGTAATAGAACTTACAGAGCTGGGGGGGAAAAAAAAATCAGACCATATTTACTTTATACCTTCCTTAAGTACTTGCTCTGGGTCTTCTCTCTCGAGAGCAGATTTGGGGTGAGGGCGCTGGAGAATGGTTGTGTTGGATTCAATACGTATGTTTATCTGTTAACACTGAGAAAAGCCTGAACGTATCTCAGGTTCCCCCCTTTGCCATCCATTTAATTTCAGCTGTCGGAACACAACCTCAATGCAATGTAAATGCAGAACACATTTTGAAACATTGATCATACCCCCTTTTCTCGCTTCCTGGCTATTTCCCCTGGGTGAGACAGGTTACACATCCAGGTGAACAAGACTGAGATTGTGCTACCTCTCCTACTACAGTTACAACTGTTCTAGGACCATTCCCATCTTCCTTAATACTTCCAGTTCTTTCCATAATGCTAAGGAGTTTGAAAGGTGATAGAAGATTTAAGAACTCGCTTGCTGTATCTCAATTTCAATGCAAGAGTGTGCGTTTTCCTTGCATCAGAGAATGCTTTTCCATACATAACAGAAATTATTTGGGAGTTGTGTTGCTTTCCTCGCTTTAGTACTTGTGCTGATTTGTAACTACTCCCACCCACCCAGCAAGAGCTTTCCTTGTAACTTAGTATTCAGTCTTGTACAAATGACTTCACTTTCTGTTTGCATGAAAAGAACAAAACCACAAGCTGAGTTTATCACTGATGTAAGCAACACTGTTTAGCCACAGCCTTCTCAGTTAGCTGGTTACATAATCAGTCTCAGCTATGTCTGAAATGAAATGTATTGCTATCTGCTTAACATATGACACAGAAGATTAGAAGTGATTGCAAAAATTCCTGAAGTTAAATGACAAAGAATACTTCTTTGAAGGTTTTCTTAATTTTTAAATTTAAATATGTATGATTCCTAAATTTAATCGATCCATTTTGTATGCAACTACTTATTTTAGATCAGCTCCTTAGATAAACGAACAACTACAACTACTTTTCTTTGCTCATTTCAGATCTTTGTTTATGACAGCAAGGACAGACAATGTTTCTTCTGAAATGTTACATCTTACTGACGCAGGCAGTCTTGGTTTACAAATTCTGCTTTATTTCAGCTGCAACTAGCCTTGGTTCTGTATCAAGGCTTGATTTGTGTCCAGTTATGTCAAGTGTAAGGTAAAAATGACATCTGAAATGGAGTCCATCTTTTCCTTTAAAACTGCCAATTTAAAATAAGAAATTAAAAGAAGGAATTGGTTCATACAGGGAGGGGGGGAGAAGGCAAGTTCTGCTTAGACATCAGTCTAGCCCTTGTAGCCCAAGCTGATACCTGAGTTGGGGACATGACTGTGGTTATTTCTGGCTGGCATACTCATTTTATGAAACAAAGCACTTTTGGGTCAGTTTTGCAAGGAAACCACTAAGGTAAAGAATCACTCTTTCTTGTTGCTAAGAATAAAGCAAAGGATTAATATATTTGTGGAAGACTAAAAGGCTTTGTTTATAAAATCTAAATAATCTATAATTAGAAAGTGTTATTTGCTAATTATATGTTTATTTTTTATGTGTTTGGAGATACCTAAATGCAAGCTTGTTACGGTCAGCTCTGTATAGTGACAGAAAAAAAAATGCTGCTTTAAGGGACAGATCTTTCAACAACTGTAAACATCTATTTTGTGCTTGTCATCTATATCTACATTTAATCCATCACATCCTTTTCCTGGAATTTAAACTGCTCTAGTCTGAGATTCTGGTTCTTCGCAAATTCAGAACCTACTCTTGGGGAGAAAGGAGAAGCTAGGAGTATTCCTAGTAAGTGCCCACTGGCCAAATTTTGCAGTCAAATAGGTTTCCTTCACTTTTACTTTGGGTAGGAAAAGAGGACAAATGACAAGAGGCAATGTCTGGGGAGCATTATTCACAGGTTTCCCAAGCATAATACACATCTCCCATACTTTCCATTATATACCCTTCACAAGTCTTGATTTCTTTACTTCTTCCTCTTCTTTAGTATTACAAAGTATTTCTTACTGGGGTGTGTAATTAGTTGTTACACCTGCCTACTCTTAAGAGAATGCTGTAAGATTCTTACAGTGACACAAAGTTACATCCTTAGTACCATTACACTTTTTATGCCAAGAGGAAAATAACCAAAGTCTGCTTACTAAATTTACTTCTAAAGTTGCAAATGTACTTAAATTAACTGTTTTAATTAAATAAATATTATCGTTGCAGGTTCATCATATCATTACCCATTTGGGAACTGTCTGCTGCTACAGGGATTGGTGCAGCACAAACTCAGCTTGTTGAAAACTTCCATGTTGACAGCTTGTGCTTTATTACAGTCTGAGAGGGTAATGTAAAAATAGGTGAGTCTCCTATACATTACAAATATGAGAAAGGTTGGAAGAAACAAAATTTTAGCAATCATCACTAAGAATTTATATTGAAAATAATAAAGTAAACCCAACACAAGCCCAACCCACTCAATAACTTACCTCGATACTTCAGTGAAAGCTTTCAGCCCTTCTTCTGAAGTCATTATTTTCTCAAAGGCAGCAGTGCCTGATCTGAAGATTGAGATGCTCCCGTAACTCCTACAGAAGGACTGAGGCTTGCAATGGAAAAATAGTGACTTTGGGCTTTCAGCCTCTCCTATTTAAGTTTCTAGGAATTATGTGCTTCAATTTTAAGGCATTTGGGCCTGCATATTATCATCAAAAAAATTCTAACACAAGCCTATTATTAATTCTTAACCAAGCTGACACTGAAACAGTGTGGTCTTAAGAACTAAGCCCTTCAAAAAAAGAAATTGCAGGTACAAATGAACTAGATTAACTGATAAAATTTTACTTTTAAGAACAGCGACTAGTTCTCATGCTCTCAGGAAGTCTTGACAAAAAGCACAACTATACAATTAAGTATCCGTATGAATAAGATACAAATTGTCAGCTACACTTCAGCTTTCCACATGAGAGTTACACAGGAGCTACAGTAAAGGCTGCCTTCAGAGGAGCCAGGATGCTTATTTCCAGAGAATTGGGATTTTCAGGTAAGCATGTGCAGTGCCAGCATTCCCGCTGGTATGACGTGGCTCTACAGTGCTTTAAGCCAAAGGCCATATTTACATTCAAGTCTTGAGTGAAAATTGTATCACTTGTTTAAAAATAATAATAAAAAAAAGGTTTCTTAATCCTCTACGCTGCCTCTCTACTGGTTTGGAGAAATTAAACATCTCTTTTACAAAGGTCAAGGTTATATTCACAGGTAAAAATGTAGGGAAAAAAACTGAGATAATAATTAACCAGTAACCATTTAAACATGTTTCCCAATAAGCTGCTTCAAACTCAACTAGTTCCAACTATTCATAAACTAGAACAAATTGTTTTATTACTGCAGAAAAAAACACGTGTTGTTCTCATTTAACCCTAGGAGAACAAAGAAATGCTGACTGTTGATAGAATTGAAATTTACCTTTTAAAATACTGTAGACAAAATGCGGTATTAAGTTTTTCCCAGATACACTATATAATAATTTACTAAAATAGTACAGGTACAAATATAACTGATGGAGTAACAATTGAAATACCTAAAACCATAAAATATTTAGAGAAATGTCATGTAGCAACTGAAGCCACCTGGGAAAGAATTCAACAAATTTTCCTGAGGTTGAATAGCTTGAGTGAAATGAAAAGAACCAGAATCCAGGCTTAAGTCCAAAGAGCTAAATGTAAACCCAATTTTCCCACATAGCATGTTCTGTGGTATATTTATGATTACAATTGTATCAATTTTTATTCAATGATTGTCTTAAATCCATCTGAAAATAAAAGGCAGTGTTGACTACCACTAGAAAATTGCAAATAAAATGTTTAATTTCAGAAACTGAGTTCACCATTTATAAATACACTAAAACATAGTAAATGCAAAATTAGATTAGGCATAGGTACAGTATTTTAACAAGGCTACAACTCTTCTAAAAGGTCATAGGCAAATGATGACTTGTTTCCCAAAAAGTATTCAGTGAAAGCTGAAATGAGAAGATTAATCTTTCTAGAGTTAAACCATGGAGAATGTTCCTTTCAAATTAAAACGCTGGCTATTTTTTTTTCCATCTTATTTGAAGTTTTGAGGGCTCTATATCCCATTTGCCTGATGGACACCAACAGTTAAGTCTCAACCCTACTACATAAAATTATAAGCAGTGCACCATATCCATAAGGCTATTACTGAAAATCAGAAGGTCAGTTATTTCTGTACTAGGAGCTTTAAGACAGGCTGTTCTACACAACTGAAATTACATTAGGAGTAAGGGCTCAGTTTTTACAATAGGGAACCTTATAGTTTCAATGCACTAAAGATTAGAACAGGCTTTAGAATGACATTAGAGTCTTCATGGTAAATTTCTTGCCTTTTTTGTACACGGCATTAAATAACAAGCATTAATTCACAAACTTTGATAAGACTTCCAAAGAGCTTTTATAAATACCCAGAATATTTCTGTAGTTCAGTTAAAATGTAAAACCTGAACAGGAGAACCCAGAATGGGAAGTTTTACTACTAATTGCTGTATAACTGACATTCCATATATTCACAAATTTAAGATTCATTTTCAGATACTAAGTCAATAGTCTCCTGTAAACATGTCTTCCTCAGTAACTTTTTAATCCTTTAAGTACTTTAGGGCTTGCAGTTAAAAACACCACATGATAAAAAGACAGCTTGAACCCCATTCTTTCATGTACAGCTTTCTTTTGACAACTACAAAAGCTGTTTTGTTGCAATTAAAGCAATGTTCAACTAAAATACAGTACCTGGTTTATGGTTTTTACATAATAATTGAATAAAAAACTACAGAATAGAACTGTTTACATCTTTTTTTTTTTTTTTTTTTTTTTTTTGCAATTCTATTAAAACAAATGACTGAGCTTTTTTAAAGTTCATTTACAATTATGGATTAAAACCTACATAATTTTGTATAATTTGACAAGACAGGCTATTTCTAGTGTGGATTTTTAAAAAACATATATACAATATCTGGCCTGAAGTACTATGAATAAGGCACATGTAGACATATTGAAAGCTGAAAAAAAAAAAAAGAAACTAAAATTTGGAATTATAGTCACTGATTAGATGTCATACATGGCCCCTATTGGAGCAATTTAAAAATCCAAGTTATAGATAGTTAATATCCAGTGAGCAACAATAGATTTAGTCTAGCAGTTTGTTCATTAGTTTCAATACTGGAAGTATATTAAAGGAAGATTCACTTTCAAAAAGATAAGCTTTTCAAAGTGTTCAATCATTAACCTTGACTGACTAAAATTGTTGCTTTCATTGGATGTATTGAACAATCTCTCTGAAGGAACAATGCTTGGTGGACACCCCAAGAACCTGACAGCCAATTTTGACAGTACTGGCCAAGATGACTTCTTAAAGTTCCAGTAAGTTAGAGGATCACAGTTATGCTCAAGCACTTCTTCCTCCAAGTAAGAAAGCACCATTTCCTCCGGTAACTTTGCTCTCTCTTTCAGGTCTTTTGTTTTCTTCATGTCACCCATGAGTGACCAAAGATTATCTTCCCCATATGAATTTGTAGATGGTGAACCTATATCACATCCATTGGAAACAGGTTTATCATCATCTGAGGTAGAACTCATTATTTCCAGCTCCCTGATTAAGTCTTGTTTATATTGTTCAGCCTCCTCTTCTGTAAATAAGGATGTTTTATACCGGGGATCCAGAAGTGTAGCAAAAATGTACCTTGGATCATGAAGCGTGGAGGACAATCTACTCACCATAGCTTCTTTCAAAGATTTCAGCATCGTATCTATGCCCATTGTTTCCTCAAACAGCATTTCTATTTTCCTGTTAAGTATATGGATCATTGGAATCACCTGGCTTAGAGTAGACATATGTGTACTCATCTCCCTACTTGCAGCTTCAAAAGGTTTGAGAGCATGACACACCGACTGCATGACTTCCCACTGATCACAACTTATTAGCTCCCGAAAGCTGCACTCTATCGACATTTCATCAATTGCTCTTTTCTGTTCGATAAGACGTTCAAGCATGTGAAATGATGTATTCCACTTTGATGGAACATCTTGTATTAGCTGATGCTGAGGCAACTCATACTCTTTTTGCAACTCAGCTAACTTCTCTTTTGCTTTTGCTGATCGATGGACGCGTTCACAGATCTTTCTTGCAATACTAAGCAAATTCTGAACCATTCTCTGGCTTTTAATAGCCTCATTTACAATGACATTAACAGTGTGACTAAAACATTGTACACTTGAATGGTCACCTTCATTTAAAGTTTTCTCTATACTCTGATTATCGGTAACAGTAATCCCAATCTGAAGGCCAACAGAAGTAATCCATGTTTCCCACCAGTACTCTAACTGCTTTTGAATACTGATTCCATTGTAGTCGCAATCAATCTGTGATACATTTAATAGTGCTGAACAATGGTAATCCTCACACTGTGGTCGAAATGAAGACTCAAATGTTACCCAGTGAGCTGTCAGGGTGAGATATTCTCGTGTTTGGTTACTCATCCATATTCCAGATGTAAAATGGATCACTCCACTTTCAGCTTCTTTAAGATGTGAAATAATTATTTGTTTTACATTATCATACATATCTGGAATTGCTGTCCTAGAAAAGTATGATGGAGAAGGTAAAGAATACTGAGGTTGCAAATATTCAAGCAGCCTGTTAAAGCCAATGTTGTCTACAAAAGAATATGGCTGAAGGTCAAGTGCAATCATTTCAGCTACAAGACTTGTGATTTTTTTGGCAACTGGGTGAGAGTCACAAAACTTGTCATTGGTTTCATCAAAATTTGAGGATCCTAGTAATTCTGTGCTCAGTGTCATGTGATTATCCGTAGAAGAGGATAATACTGTCTCTGACACATCAGTTTTCAATACATTGTTATGAAACCGCTGCAAATGTCTTAGAAGGCAACTTGTGCCTAGATTTGTTGGCTTTTTCCCCCTACTTATTGTACGTCCACAGTGCATACATATCACTTTTGTTGAATCTGCAGAACAAATTGAAAAGTGATTCCACAGTTTTGAGGTCTTCTTACTATTAACAGGAAATATAATTTGATTATCATGTGTAACCATTGTAGGCAACTCAGTCAACTTTGAGGATGAACATTCCGCAGAAGCCAAAGTGGCATAAGGAGAATTTGCCAAACTCACATCAAGAAAGCTCTTTTGGTTTCCAATTACATCAGGATGGCGTCTATATAGATGTCTCATCAAGCAGCTTGTGCCCACATCTCCTTTCTTACCACGACTTATCATACAACTGCAGTATCTACATACTGCTTTGAGACTGTCTGCAGGTGACAGTGAAAAGTGGTGCCAAACTTCTGATTTAAGCCTTTTCATAATCCTTTTATTTTGCTGAAATACAGCAGTAGGTTCAAATATTAGTGGACCTAATCCCTCACACTGTTTCTCAGGAGATGAAACAAAGGAGACTTCACCTATATCATCAGAAGACGATAGCATTGTGTCTTCCACTAGAGCATCTCCAGAAGAGAGATTGGTATGGATCTCCTCAGAGATTCTGTCTGGAGAAGAAGAAACAGAAGTTGATTCTTTCATTAGTTTTCCAGGAGAGGATGACATAGAATTCAGATCACTATCTGAGGGTAGTAAAGAAGGCAACAGAGTTGGAGGTGCAGTGTAGAGAGGTGGTATGCTGGTACCACCCCCATTCTCTTGCAGGACAATGGAACGATGGGCTCTCCACATGTGTCTTATTAAACAACTCGTTCCCAGGTCCTTTCCATTTTTTCCTCTACTGAATTCATTCATGCAGTGGATGCAAACAGCTTTAGAATTATCTAGAGGTGACAAATAAAAGTGTTTCCAGACAGCAGATCTCCTTCTGGAACCTGATGTGCTCTTTGGAATTACAACAGTTTTTTCTGCTACATTCTCTACCGTGTCATCGTACTGGTTGTTGGGTAGCTGTGGAGATGACCCAACCATGACTTCTTCTTTGCTGCACTTTTCAGAAACTGAGAGATCTGGTATTTCTTCAGAAGAAACAATAGAAACAGATTCCTCGATTATTCGATCTGGAGATGGTATTTTAGAAGCCATTTTCTTGACCAGTTTTATAGGTGATAACATAGAACTCAGATCTCCAACATCTGCGGACTGAGGTGGCAGTAACAATGTAGGTGAAGAAAATGAGGATATACCTGGCATACTTCCATTTTCTTGAATTAGTACAGTGGGATGGGCTCTCCTCACATGTCTCATGAGACAACTTGTACTCAGGTCCTTTTCATTTTTACCCCTGCTAAATTCTTTCATACAGTACATACATATTGCTTTAGTGCTATCTCTAGGAGATATAAAAAAATGGTTCCAAGCAGGTGACTTTTTTCTGGAGCTTATGTTTCTGCTAGAAAGGAGGCTTTGTGTCACAGCTTCCATTGCTACATCATACAACGTACTACTATACTGAGAAAAAAGAGATCCATAATCATCTTCATTTTCTGTAGATAAATATTTGCCAGGGTTGTTGGTAATGAAGTTCTTTTCTTTGTCTTCCTGTTCATCACTGCTGTCTGCATGTTTGAAATCATCTTGTTCTGTCTTTATATCCATTCTTTCCAGAGTACAGTTAATGCTGTCTTCCTCTTGCTCTACTTTTAAGTTATTGATTTTACCCAACACAAAATTACCATCCATTCTGGGGGAACCTGCTTTACTTTTGTTCGTGGATGACAAATTCTTCCTGACAAGTCTTCATTTATTAATAAATACAGATAATTTAAAAGATTATTTAAAATTTGATTAAAATGATGTATCTTGTATATTGAATGCAAAAACACAAATGTGTGTATGTGTTAAAATAATCCCTGGTTTATGAATTCTGTATCCGTGTTGTGCAAAAGCAAATACGATTAGTCATAAAAATATATTTAAAAATTATAGGCTTAATTAATGGAATCTCGTATTTTCCCCAGGATCAGGACATTTCAGGTCATAGATGAATGTTCTCAAAGACAGCTACTGTTAAATGCTTCATGTTGTAGACATAATCCTAAAAAATGAATGTTCTATTTTCTTATTGAAGAAAGCCATTCTGTTCATCTTGATTGGGCAACTGTGATTCTTGTGCACCATCTAGAAATAAAAAAATCAAAAGAAAAAGTTGACAAACACTTTAAATAGCTACAGCAAATGTGAACTGAAAACATGCACTAAACGTTCTGCAGGGTTGTTTTGGTTTTTTTTTTTTTTTTTTTTTTTGTTTGTTTGTTTGTTTTGTTTTGTTTTTTTGTTTGTTTGTTTGGGGGTTTTTTTGTTTGCTTTTTTTTCCCTTTGAGATAAAAGCAGTTCGGTGTGCTATTGGAAAAAAACAAAAACAAAACAAAACAATATTTACTCAATATATTTATTGTGGGCAAATACATGTCTATACATGCAGCTCCCATTCAGCTTTGACAAAATCTAGAGTCCAAGCATCACTTCTGTATTTGCTTGGACATATCTATGCCTCATCCTACATCCTAATTCAACCACTGCATAATCATACATACACACATATATACACAAATATATACTAGATAGGTGTCTATATCTATAGATAGATATGAAAACAAGCAGACATTTAATCACGTTAGCACAGAAATATGTACTTAAAACCAAACATTAAGTTATACTCCTGTACATGTAAGCCCTCCATTACTGACAGCAGTGTTTAACAACACAATGCTTTACAAGAAACCTCTGTAAGGGTGTTCAGCATTGTCACACTACTCTCTCTTCCTCTGACCACATGGTTATACTCATGTCATAATGCTCCCAGACAACAACCATACTTTAGAAACAAGCTGCTTTTAGGGTTTCATGATTAAAACCTCAAATTCTTAATTTAGGATAACAGGGCTATGCAAATGCCATATATACACTGAGGACTCCCAAAAGATAACAACATCACTCAGAAGCAGAGATACATACAGTTGCATATGCTGGTACCTAGCACAGCATGGCCAGCTCAAGTTCCTAATGTACCCAAGGATTATACTAGAAAGCTCACTTACAATGAGATAGCCTATTTCCCTCATGGGTAAATATCTCCCCCACCAAAAATTCCAGTACAAAGAGTAGGTTTTTGAAGTACAGCTGCGCATAAGTCAGAGGGCAACAACAGGGGTAAAAACCAGAATCCCCCCCCACCAGCCCCACACAAACCTGAAGAGGCTGTCTGCATTTGTCAGCCACTATTTTTTTCTTTTTACTACAGTACTGTCAGAATTCTAAATTTTGCCAAACCCTTTCTCACTTATTCTCTTGTGTCATGAATGTAGTTATTGGTGCCTTCATTTAAGATAAACATTTTTTGACCACACAGGTGATGCTATACTATGCGCTCCAATTTATGCAAAGTGGATTTTATGGGACTCATTCTCCACAGCTGAAAACAAGATACAACTTTGAATCTGTTATTTTATAAACTTATTACACAATTTTCATGTGTTACTCAAACACAATGATTTCAGCAGAGAAAAGGTGAAATTAGCCATAGCTACAAGACATATTAAAAAAGTCCAGCTTGTACTTACACAGCTACTTCCTCCTTGTATCAAGACCAATGTCATATTAGCCTTGTAGCCTATTTTAATTATTATTTTTCTGAGGTCTGTTTACAAAAGAAAATAGAAACACTTATTTTCCGTGGATGTCAGATTTCTGGAAAGCCTATAGTAGAGAACTTATTTTCTTCTCCAGTGCAGGGGAAGGGGCAGGGAGAAGGAGGGGCAATCAGCTTATTGCAGTTATTTTAAGAAAAGGGAGATGAAGCAGTCAGAACTTGCAAAGAGGAAGGCAGTAACTCTGGTCTTCTTTCTGTGAAAGTTTTAGTATTTGTGCTCTGCCTTTCCTTCTCCTAACAAAACAAAAAACCAAAACAAAACAGCAACAAAAAAAAAAAAAAAAAAAACAAACACCAAAACAAACAAACAACAAAAACCACCACCAGACGGTTTCAGACACCAAAAGATATGAGGGTTGACCATGAAGAACATCAGTTATAATGAAGGGAGAGTCTTGAAGAAAAACCTTAAATTTCTATGAGAAATTTAACACACTACACAGTACTTTCCACAGGTTTGTGAAATCACATCTAAGAACAACTCTGGCAGCAAAGACTAAATTTACATCACTCTATAAAACTGACTGAAACAAGTTAGTGATCACACACACATAGATGATATGAAAGCATGTGCATCTGGGACAAAAGAGAACATGTAAGACAACCAACATTTTTAATATAAATCAATCTAAGGTTGTTTTGTGGCTTTTTTTCTTCATCTTTATTTTGATCTAATTTGTGAATTAGGAGCTTGTACTGCAAACAGGAAAAGTAAGAATATATAATAAACTGTTGTGACTTAGGATCACAGAATAGAGAGGCTCACAAGCAAGTGACTCCACGCAGAGCTTAGAGAACATAAATTATGCATGTAAGTGCCAAGTTACAGTAAGCACATTACACATTCCTAGCTAGATTTGCACAAAATACAGGCATTGGATTCTGATGAAGTTGTGCACAATTTCTTTGCATCAAAACAGGTAATCACACCTCTAGCCTGCAATTCCTGTAATTCCTTAACTATGCAAAAAACAGTTTTAGGCTTTGAACACAAAAATCCACGGATATGCTTCACTTGTCCTGATAGGCACTGACGGCTTAACAGAGCTAAGGGTAAAGTAGATGTGATGTGAAGATCTGGAAAACTGATAAATAAAACCAGTTGCAAACTTTGTAGCAACACTTACCTAGTGACATTCATTAACAATACACATTGCCAGTGGTTAAGTTCTTAATCATTATCAGCCACTATCACTACATATTCAAACAGTTAGGCCCTAATCATCTTATCCTAAATTAGCTCTGAGTACACAATACCACCAAGCTGATGCCATGTAGTTAAATACTGATGGCTGTGGACTTTGATGGACTTAGTTGCTGCAGCTCAGGTGAGAGGGCTATTTGGACTCTGAGGCAGGAACCGCTGTGGTAGACTTCTTTCCTCCCTGTTTCTCCTTGCTCTCGCTGGGTGTTTTTAATGCTCATTATCTCCTCTACCAAAAAAGGGTGTGGGAAGCAACCTCATCTGCTCCTGACATTATTTACCTTCTTTTCTTTAGGACCAGCAACTGTACTTGTTCCACCAGAAATCTTCCCTGCTTATTCTGTATCCTTCGTTTTTACTTGCAGATGTTACTACTTGAACTGTTGATTCCCAGGTTTTTCTGTCCCCTATTTGCGCAATTAAAAATAGGTCTCCCTTTGCAGCTACATATTATTTCTATACATATGCTTAGCTGTGATATGCTTTCATGCTGTTCGTAGGGTTATGCAATTAGCAGTGTTACAAAGTGTTTATATACTGTGGCCAGCAACACTACTTTAGTGTCTTAAAATGAGTTTAAGACAAGAAAACATTAATTATCTCTTGTCGACTTTATGGATGTTACAGGTCTCTGGCTATGTGCTATGTAGTACATGCTTTTCTGGGCACTGTTGCTACCTTCTAGGAATGTAGACTAGCTGAGATTCTTAGAGGAGACTCGTTAGGGCTGCTAGATCACTTCCTGTGAAATCCCCGAAGTTGGATGCCCCTTAGAAGATTTTGCATGTTTTGTTTTGGTGGGTTTTTCTGTTTTTGTTTTTGGGTTTTTTTTCCATTTTCTTTCAAACATTTAAGCATGATCTCTATTGCTTTGAATGTTGCCACATCATACTGTAAAATTAAGTCAAGTTCACTCCCTCACTGAAGCCCTGAGCTTTCAACCCAAATCTTCTTTCAAATACAGTCCCTAAAATGCTCAGATAGGTATCTTTTTCAAATCCCCCTCCCATACCAATTCTATGTAAGAAACATTCTCTTTTAAAAGCAAACAGAACACTGCATCCCATTTTAAAATTTTATAGTAACCTAGAACAAAGCATGAATTTGGTTACAGCCACCTTTACACAGCTTATTTATCCCTGGACACAAGCTACTTGAAGTTAAGGTCTACTGCTAAAACAAACAAGATAGTCAAGGAGGAGGAAAATGTTTTTTTTTTCAAAACGTACAAAAGGCTACGAGCAGTCAGCTCAAAATTAAAATGATTTATGGCTTTGAAATCTCAATTAGATACAGACAAGCAGTGAAACAAAGAGAATTAAGAGTCACCTTGAAACAAAAATCTTCAAAGAAATGAAATGGAACTAGAGAACAATTATCTACTCAAATGTACTACTCTATTAGCTCCTGAGTGTCTGTAGACAGTCTGTGGTTTGCAGTGGCAGGAAGCCTGCAGAAACATTTTACACGCTTTTCCATTCAAAAATGGAATTAATGAAAACATATGGTGGTTGACAAGAAATGTCAGGAGAATGTCACTGATCCAAAGAGTGACACAGCGGACTGCCATGATCAGAAGAAATCACTGCTGAAGGAAGGGGGTGGAAGAAAAAAAAACAAAACCACACCAGTGTTGTGGGATTACAGAGACATACATTAACATACAGAGAAGCATGAAAAATATGCAAGAACACTGAACCATGAGCAGGTTATTTGTTTTTAAAACAGATAGTGACCTGCAAGCTTTAAACTATTTTAGATTTTAGGTTGAGTAGTCCGGCAATAATCATAGACTTGATCACATTACAGAATCTTAGTGCAAATAATGGTCTAAAGAAAGTATTTTAAAACTAAAAATTTTAAAATTATTATACAAGTGCATATAGTGTAAATGCAAACACACAAACACCCCCCTGCAAAATGTAAGAGCAGTTGTTTCAAGACAGATGCAAAATGTGGAGACAAAGTGAAAGAAAAACTATTTACTATTTTGAAACAAAAAAATAAAATAAAAGTAGTGACAGATTTTGAGCGTAGGAGGTACATAAAAGCACATTAAAAACAATTTGCACAAACAGATGTCAGTTTTAGAGTAAATAGTGCTAATCTTGTTTATTTTTGGAAATGTACAGGCATCATTAAGAACATCAAGTAAAAAGAAAATCTCTAAAAGAAAGCAATACAAGCAATAAGGAGGAGCTATTTTAAGAAATTATTATGAGCTTCAATGTCAATGGCAGGTACTATGCTAATTCAGGAATATTTGCTAAAAAAAAAAAAAAAAATAACCAAAACACCACCACCACATAAAAAAAAAAAATCTCAAAAAAAGGCAAAAATAAAACACACATCCAAAAACCTGTAATGAATAAGCAGAACATAGTTTTATAAATGTATAGCCTAGATGAACCTTAACACTTTTCAAAGTTACAAATCCCCTGAAGATGGAAAACTAACAGGAACATATTTTTTCTATAGAAATTTACTACAACAAAGTATCAGTACTAGCTCACTTATGAAGAACTGCAAAAGTTTCCAAGATACTGATAGATTAAAATGTGGCATTAGAAGAGATTGAAAAATTAGCATTAGTCACATCCTGAAACAAGGTGGGTGCTATGCTCAAGTCTCACTGAAGCTCACAGGAATCCATGCAGACATACAAGCATGAACTAGCCGATGAAACAACATAATTGGGATCAAAGTAAATAAAGTTAGGCTTAATAAATGAAACAAGTTGTTTTGGATCTCATGGGAGGTATGATTTGCAGAGGACTGTTGGGAAAGAAAAAAAGAGGGAGGTAAAGCCACCTTTTATTATTCCATTACTTTCCCAGTCACCTGAAAGGCAGATCTTACATGAACTGGTAACTGTTGTGGTCTTACAAAGGCATTCTCTCCAACTTGCAAAATAACCTCTCGTGTCCATCACCCCAAACACCCCATCTGGGCACAAAATGTAGAGCGTAGAAACAGCACCACCAATACTGTACATTGCTCCTTGTTGACAGGAATAGTCTTCACCTTAACCAAACACAGGAACAGAATATGACCATTAGGACAAAGTAACATTAGACATTTTTATTAGTGCAATATGAAAGAGGAGAAGTTTATGGGAATCTATGCACTTAACAGAAGAATGTTAGAAAATGATAATCAGAGAGGCATATGTTAATGAAATCAGAATGAAATAACCAATGTTAATGAAATAATCAAAATCGTATTTAATAAAAAAAAAAAAAAAACAAAAAAAAAAAAAAAACAAAAACAAAAAAAAAACCACAAAAAACAACCCAAAAAGGGCATACACAGAAAAAGCAGAAAAAAAACAGCCCAACAACCAAAAAGACTGAAGCTATTATTTTTAGAAGTGTTCTCTTTTACTGGACAGTGAAACCCTGATGTTAGAAACTTAAAGTATTTTTATTTAAAATTTCAATTATTTACTATGTTTTTTTTTCCCTACTTATACATTGAAAGAGTGATATATGGAAGTAACAAAAATACAACATTTTTGAATATTGACTGAAAAATACTATCTAGGTTTAGCTCTTGTTCTGCCTACTGGTCTTGCAGAACTCTAAATTTCTCCCTCAATGACCCCTTCCCAATTAGGAAGGTTGTAATATTTTATCTTTCATCTTTTGTTTTTGTTCCATCTATTCCACCATGAGTTTTACAGGGTCATCTTGCTATTTGACTTAGCCATCACTCTAACTATGGCTCCCTAAGTACTCCTGAAACACTTGTAGAAAAAAAAACAAAACAAAACAAAACACTTTTATAAATATTTTTAAGGTTCCATTCTGGAGTGAGACAAACATTTAGAAAAATCCTAGTTTACACACAGGGAACATTCATGAAGAGTTTTATTTGTTTGTGTAAACAAGAAAAGACCAGTTCAGCTTTCAGACTAGGACCGGTGAAGGAAAAAAAAAAAAAAAAACACCGAACCCAAAAACCAAAAGGAGGGTAGGATTATTTCCTCCAAGGCTGGAGAATTTCACAGATGTGTGGCCAGCCAAGCAGGATGCCATGCGTAGGAGCTGTAACAGGCTGGGAGGCAGAGGCCGGGCAGCTCCTGGGGATGCTGTGACTGCTGGCCTTCAGCTGCTGGGAGAAACGGGGCAGCACCTGGGCAGGGCAGCTGATGCCCTCAGTTCCCTCATCTCTGAGGAGAGGAGAAGCCAGGAAAAGTTACAAAGAGCAAATAACATAGCCAGAGCAACGCATAAGAAAGGAAATGAAACCACGCATTGGGATGCAATGGGACAAAGGTACACACTCAGGGGCTTGGGAGACAAGGCAGGAAGAACGAGAGCCCTCCAAGAAAGGTACGTGAGCTCCCCAGTGCACTCAGGATACTTGTCAGGACACGACACAGAGACCTTCGATTTATCCAAGTGTAAAGATCATTCACGCCTCTTCACGAAAAACTCAGTTTGGTGTAAGCTGGGGCCTAAATCAGTCATTCCAGACAGAAAAAACAAAGTGTGGGGAGCTGAGTATTATTGCCATAACTATCATGATTAGACTCTGGGTATTCAATTCTAATTACAAATGCAGAAATATAGCTAAAGTAGACACTGAAAAGTTAAAAAGACTACCAGCTAATTGCAAGTATTTCCCCCTTTCTTGCCTTCTGTCCCCCAAATCAAAGAATTTTACTATGAACATGGATTATTTAATATTAAACAGTAAAACAGACTTGCTAGTGCCAAGTTATATTTTTTTGGTCTAGCAGTCTGTGGACTCTTCTCTCTGTTTTCCCTTTTTTCCCCACCACCACTAAATTAACAATAATGCAGGAAGCTAAAAATCAACAGCACAGCTCAGAAGTGACAGCTTTAGTCTTAGACCATTGTTAAAGGGACAGTGTCGAGTTAAAAATCTAACCAGCACACAGAAAACACTTAACATTCCACGAACTCCTCAGACTCAAACTTAGCTTCTTACTCTTTTAAAAGCTAGTTTATTGTGTACATCTGTTTTCTCCTCTTGCTTCTGTAAGCATCAAAAAGTCTATGGGACTCTGTTCACTAATCATTTTCAAATACTCCCTGAAGCCTTGGGAAATTTTCAAGAACTAAAAGCCCCAGCTTTGTACAAATATCTCCATCTCAAACCTAAATCATCTGCATCACAATGTATGGAAGAAAGTCTCTGCACCAGCTCCCCCTGCACAAAACTACTCTAGCTCTTATATTGATGTGTAAAAGGAGTGAAAATAATTCCTGACAGTTGCAGAACTGGTATGATTTCCAGATTAGCACTAGTTTAAAAAAAAATTCTGAAATAGACACAAAGCAGAAATTATTAAGATTTAATTTAAAATTATTTTTTTTTTTTAAAGAAGATCTGGTTCTTAATTCAGTTCTTACACCAGTATATCCTCAACCAGAAAACTTCTTAAAAAGATTGAGATAATTCTTTTAAAATATTATACATTTCGTATTATTTTTGAAGTCTGATATAAATAAAGATGTTTGTGTTAGCATACATATTATTCACATCTGGCTGACATTTAGTTATGGCATCCCTGTTTAGTGCCCAACCGGATTTGCTAAACATGCTCAGTACCCAAATGTTTCATGAGACCTCAGTGATACAGGCTGAATGCTCAGCATGTTTAAGAACAAAACAGGTGTCTGGTATAGGGTAAAGAGTCAAAACTCTAGCTTATTTCTGGAGAAATTGGTCTTCCTAATTTATCTGACAATTTATTAAGTATATATCTATTTGAGGCATCATCCTCCATCACAAAGGTTTAAGCAGCACTGTTAAACACTATAAAGCCCATAGCACAGGAACTCCAATTGCAGCTGTTTTCAAACAGTATTTATCTTAAAGTGAAATTAAAATGCAAAGTAAAACAAAACCAAAAGAACTACCTCAGCCAAAACAATGTCACTCCCAAGTTTTATATAAAAAAAACTACAGAAATATCACTGTGTTGCATGTACCACCATACATAACATTATGTATCACCACAAACAGTAACACTGTTCTCACCTACAACCACCTGATAAGCCTTTAATTGTGCTATTTTTTTTTCTTAGTGCACTAAAACTGCCATCAGTTCTCAAATATGGCTTTCTTCCTTCACACATCCTTTGCTACCTTCCCATAGCAGCACACTCTAAGAAAGTATTTTAAAAAAAGCAGGTTGTACACATGCTAATAATTTCTGTTCCAGCTTTTACTAAGTGATTGCTCATAAAAAAATGATCTGTCACTGTAAGTAAATTATGTCAACATTTGTCTAGGATACAAACAGTATTTTAAGTGTTGAAGTGTTCTTTCTCATTATCTGGTATGATACTACTGAAGCAATACTTGCAGGATATGTTTCTATGCTATTGTTCACATCTACCAAATGTGAGATCTGTCCGTCAGTTCTTAAAATGCTGATGTTTTAAGAAATAAATGCATTAAAACTTTAAGCAGGATTTTTCTAAGTCTTACGAATCAGTTCAAGGTTGCTCCAAGTGAAACCTACAGAAAATTATACTATTATTTTGATGTTTTTATCATTTGCAATTTTTGACAAACAAATATTATATGCTAGTAAGATGGTGTAATTCTTGAAGTTACAAGAAATAAGGTGTTTTTTCTTAAGAAATAATTTAGATTTTTTTTTAAACAGCTGAAGCATGTATTGCTTGGCTTATGGCATTTTTAGTTCAGTACATCAAAACTGCTTTTAATATCTCATGCTATACAATTTGAGGCTGAGGGAAGATGAACAAAGGTTGGAGTAACACAACATGAGGGTAAAATCCAGAAGATAAAAACAAGAACAGAGCAGGGAAGATGCATCAATATCATCATGGAACAGGAAACACCACACAACCAAAAACATGGTAACAACGGTTAAGTTCCAAAAGAATGAAAGACAAAAGACAAAACAGTTACTCCATGTTGCTAGAGAACAGCAGCCTGCTTTCAGAAAAGCATCAGAGAATTCAAAGCAAAGCTCCTCTGACACTTCTTTTCCCCAAGTGATCAATTCCTCTGCCTAGCCCATTATACTTTTCTCCTCCTCCTCCTGTGCAGTCCACAGCTAACAAAATAAATGGGATAGGATTAGGACAGGAGATTCCTCTCCTGATTAGTCTACCTTCCTAGCTTGCAATATACTAGAAAACATACACTTTTATTAGTTGCCTTTTTTTTTTTTATTTCTATCTTTAAACTCAGTAAGAGTGAAACCTTAAGCACTTTAAGGATGATTTCAAACAGTTAAAAATGAGACACCTGTAAAGGAGAAATCCAAGGGTTACAAAGCTGAATAGGCAGGATGATAAAGAATGGAAAAGCAGTTTGGAGAGGCACACCATGTCTGAGTACAGCAAGTCTTCTTAGAACTCTTGCTGAAAACATCCATGTAAGTATAAAGTGAAAAAAATCCCACAAAATGAAAAACAGGGTCCTTTACAGAATGTAATATTGTATTAATCTGTTTTAACTATAATTTTTCTAAAATAAAAGATATATGTTGAACTCCTAAGATTATCATATATTAGTACCTACTTTGATACTAACCAGATCAAGTCTGAAGAGGTCTGTTTTCAAAAACCCTTCACAGCTAAACATTAATCCAGTTCAGTGTTCATATTGATGCCTGTTAGTTACATGTCCTCAGATATTTTCACTTGTGCTATGGAGAGGTTTTCCATGACCTACATATATCTCATTCATATATGTGTAATATAGTATTATACTTATATTTTATGTTTGTGTGCTGGAATGCTTCACATATAAAGGCAGGTTAGAAAGAAAATGCAGCTCATAGTTCCTAAAAACACAAAAAAATATTTTCAGGAGGATAAACAGTAGTTTAAATACTTTGTATGCATTTTTAACAGCTAAGCTAAACCATTCTTTTGTCAAAAAACTCTATTTCAAGTCAGAAGATACCCTCAATTGCAAATGATTCTCCAAAGAAATCTGTTTCTTCTCTGTACCTGGTATCTTCTTTCTTCCTTGTGTAATAGTTTGAAGAAATATGCTAGATTTTACATGAAGCAAGGAAAACACCATCTCTTTACTAAATATAACAGAAAATAATATTTATTTATATATATCTATAAAAATATTTATCTTTTATATAAAAGATAATTTTTATAGAGTTCAGAAATACTCAGTTTCACCTTGCCAACGAGCACAAAAACTGCAATAAAAACAACCAGGTAACTTTACAGACAAGCTTCCGTACCACATGCAGGCACAACTGCCCATGAAGGGGGTGAACTTCTCATACTCCTTTCAAGTATTTTTTGGCATTCGGTATTTTCTAAATAAATTGTACATTCATCAGTAGCACCTGACATTTCACCTGATATTCCAATTTAAAAAACAATGACCTCAACCCTGTCCCTCTCAAAACAAACATTCCTACTCATAAAACAGGGCAGAGGGAGACAAAAATGACTGTACAGATTTCCTTATTCACCTGTTAACCAGCCGGTCCCTAGTCTCCATGACAAGGAGTCTTTTCCCTCTTAACCTCTTCTAGGGACAGATTGCCTTTGCCTTCTTCTAGGCAAGGTAAGACTCTGCAGCAAAGACCCAGCTGACGTGGACAAACAAGCCAGGAAAGTCGACATTGTTTCCACTAGCATCACACTGAGCACTAGCAGGAAATCCAGAGACACTCCTGTCCCTGGCAAACAAATAACTCTGTCTTCTCCCAAAAGAAGAGGAACCATCCTACTGCCATAGACAGATTTTAATTTGAGAAAATAAGGTTTTGCTCAAGGACCTAACAAAAAATACAAGAAGAATTTCAATTAAGAATAAAGCTTTTTGTAGTACCTATTCTAACCAGTGCAGTTCATGAGCTTTAATTCATGTAATGCAACCTGTAATTTAAATAACTTTTACAGAATAAGGTTACACAGGGTTTTTTTTCAGAGCAGGATCCACAACATTTTTAGTACAAAAACATGTAAAGAAAAGGATAGCCCTTGCTGTTCCAATTTGCTTGATTTCTATTATTATACAGAAGCCATAATAATTATTTTAATAAACCTAATATTTTGTGAGGTATAGGAAAGGGAAATAAAAACATCTGCAGAAAGGAGAAGGATCAGGAATCTCCCTGTTCTTTATGAGCATCGTTGTATTTTCTGTCATAAATGGAATATGGTCTCCTCACAGCGCAGTATGCCACAGAAGACAACTTAAAATTACTAGGAAAGAAAAAGAAGAATGAAACCTCAATTTCTCCTGTTTCTCAGTGCTGACAAGAGCAACGGTCTGCACATTGTTTGGCTCCCTGAAAACTGACCCACTCTTCCTACTATTCCAGAGGCTACTAATGCAAGTTGGAACAAGTGAAAACCTCTCATTTAATGAGTATTACCCTGTGTCTTCTGGTTTAGTGCTTTGTGTTTTTTTTTTTCTTTCCCTGTCTGTAGATATGCTCCCACAGTTATTAGCATATCATGATCCCACCTTTAATGCAGAAGAAAGGGGAACCACAGATTAAAAATGGAAAGTATATGATTGCCATTATCTATGCCACACTTTAGCAAGGATTTGTGGTCCCAAATCTTAAATAAGAAAAGTTCTGAGTGGCTGGGAGCCAGTAGTTGGGTGGGAGCTATAAACAGGCAACAGTTTACATATTGCTCTTTCCTCTCCCACCTCCTCACAGGACATCTAACACTACTAGATCCCTTTAATCAGGAACCAGATTTTCTTCAATGATCTAAACTTCACTTAAAAGCGACTGCATAGCATATTCAGTAGAAGACTAACTCTTACAGTGGATGCTAAAGGATGTAGACCTATGACATTTTCATCCTACTGAAACTTAAAATTTTAACAGAAAAGATAATATCTGGGCAGCAGAATATTCCTATCTCTGTTCTCGGGAAACTCCAGCTCTATGTAAGTATCGATTCTACCAAAAGAGAGCCTTCTTAATCACAGATGAAGAAAGCATCATGGACAGAAGGAACATTTGCAAAATGCTAGCTCTATGGGCTGCACTACTCAACTCCAGGAGCTAGTATGCAATTACTTGCTCATAATACACTGCATGGTGCAATTTGTATTGGTGAATACATCACATATTGCACACTGATACACTGAAATATGGAGGAAAAAAAAAGTCAGTCTTCAACTACCATGAAGGAAAAAATACCCCAGCAGGAAGTAGTATGAAATCACTTAAAAGATTATATATTTGATATATTTCTCACATTTTGTTTTTCCAAAAATAAACATGTAAAAAATGACTGTGTTCTATAAAACCTTAACAGAATAGTTAAAGAAAAAAAAATTGTCACAAGGAACTCAAAATATGTTCTATAAATGCATTTTTTTAGGCTGACCAGAATTATCTAAATTCTATCCCTGAGTGTTTACCTTAATTTCAATGACGTACACGAATATGACAAAACACAGGTAATAAAATGCATACACTTTTCTGTTGGAACTCGTGTTTGCATTTAATTTCTTTAAGATACTTACAGATTTTATTATCTATCTGAACAACTGAATTTGCAGTCAACAGCTACTTCATCTGGGATTTTAATTCAAGAAGTAGTTCTTGAAGATACTAAGACCATATACTCATTTTCAGTGGAAAGGTAGTACTAAAGCAGATATTTTCACTGAAGGCTTTTAACCTTGAGAGCCACATTAGAAAGGCACTTTAGGTAGAACTATGAAATGCTACAGTGCTTGACACCATGTCATGAAACAGTACAAAACAGAGTAACCCTGACATGAGTCTATTAGCATTCAGCATTAAATTCACAAGAGTGAACTTTTGGCTATTCTGGTAAAAGCAAGATTGTCTATTTTATCAGATTTCTTTACAGTGGTCTAGAATTGACTCAAAATGCTGCTGCCAACAACAACTACTCTTTCTTGTTCTTTGGCTTTGCTACGGACTTGGAAAGCACTAGCAGTTCATTTTTGCTTAGACTGATGAAGAAAGATCCACAAGCAGATTTAGTATGTAATAAAATCCCCCACACCTTCTGTATGTGTCACCTAGGAAAACTTTCCTTCAAGAAATTAATCTGATTCGTGTTTTTATTTTTCTTTTTCTACAGAGGCCAATGTCTTATGAGTAAAGGCTGAGAGAGTTGGGGTTGTTCAACCTGGAGAAGAGAAGGCTCCAAGGAGACCTTACTGCTGCCTCCCATTACTCAAAGGGGGCTACAGGAAAGGTCGGACAGACTGGGGACAGTCTTTTCAGTAGGGCCTGTTGTGACAGGACAAGGGGTAATGGTTTTAAACTAAAAGAGGGTAGATTCAGACTAGATAGAAGGAATACACTTTTTCTATTATGCGGTTGGTGAAACACTGGGACAGGTTGCCCAGAGAGGTAGGTAGATGCTCCGTCCCTGAAAAAATCAGGTCAGGTTGGACGGGGCTTTGAGCAACCTGATCTAGTTGAAGATGTCCCTGCCCATGGCACTGGGGTTGGACTAAATGCCCTTTAAAGGTCCCTTCCAACCCAAACTATTCTACAATTCTAGGACCCCACCACGACTTCCTAGCTCAACATTTTACCTATCTTAAACATTTGTCCATCTGTTGCTAATATGCATGTTAACCGATAACACAAGCAGCTTAAAAGTTGAACTATTTTATTTGGGGCAGGGGGAGAAAAAAATAAACAAAAAGCTCCAAAACACTATATAAGAATAACATTTATTGTTAATCTACTTATAAATGCTGATCTGTATATGAACAATATTTTTCTACTGCATTTTAGTCAGGAATCTCAGGCTTCTGAAAAATCTGTACTCAAACTAAATAGATAAAGAAAAAAAAAATGTTTCAGACAAAAACCCTGGAAGATATTAAAATTTACTTTATCAATGAGGACATGAAAATCTGAATAAGACAAGCGTAGGTTGAATGTAGCATGGAAGTTACTTCCCCCTTTTTAAGAGGCAGACTGCAGGGTAAGGATATATATTTGCCAGCTGTTACTACAGAGTAAGAGGTACCCCACAAATCATAAACTAGTTACTATTACTGTAACACTGTAAAGATATCCATGCTTCCAAATGTGATTTTTATGTCTTAGGCACTCATAAAAACCTTCTGCTAGGTTATTATCCATACAAGTCAATGCACAGGCATACAATTATTCATTACCTTCATCCATTGGCTTACTTTAATAACAACAACAATACAAACCCCAAAACAAACAAACTGCCCACTAGTTTATTGAGAAAAACAAAAACAAAGTAAAAAAACACCCCAAACTTACACATCTGTTCCACTGCATGCAGGCTGCTTCATTTGAGGTTAAATACTTGCTACTCAAACTTAATGATGAAGATTGTATCTAAGGAAAAGAAAAAAGTAATTCCTCTTAATAAATTTTTTTAGTCAAGTTAACTGTCACATTGGCAAGTCATGAGGTGTTTCAAGCTTCTCTTTAGGTGACAGTTCCAGGAGGTGCACTTGCATGACTAGCTCTCTCCTTTTTTCAAAATTCCTAGTCCTCATAATTGTCAAGAAAAATCAGGTATTTTCAACTCTAGAGCTCTAAAGCAGAAAATCAAAATACCACCTCCCCAAGATGAGTACTAAGGAGATTTAAAAGTCAAATTTTTGTACTTGTCTTGGTGCTGCTCCATTTTTTTTATGCGTTCTGATGACTACATCTCATGATGAATGAAAACAAGTCTACAGTACCTGAAAGATTTCAAAGGATCTTGCCGATACCTTTCAATGCCCAACAGGATTCACCTGGCAGCTTGTTACACTCTTCATGAGCTAAACACACTGCTTACACACTTCACCTAACATATGTATTAATCAACATGCAATAGCATAGGATCAACACAAGATTATCATTCCCCATGTATGAGAAAGGAATGATTGCAAGTGGAGTACATTAAGTCCAATATTTTGACTTAGCAACAAAACAGACCAAAACAGTCTACTGCAGGTCATACTTTTGGAGTTTGCAACTTTAGTCCCACTGACATGAGTGTCATTGTACACAGGCCCCGGCACACTAAAAAAAAAAAAAAACAAAAACAAACAAGCAACCAAGAAATCTTTTTGCCATCTTAGAAAATCCAGAAAGTAAACTTTGACTCCAAACCCGAATGCAGAAAATGCTGGACTCTGTAATGCTTAGTGGTCAGGATGGTGCTTTGTCCTCTTTTCTAAACTCCATGTGGATCAAACATCAACAGGGGTTATATCAGCAAAGCATTCTCCCCACCAGTCAGTGCTTACTGCTCTTATTCAGACAGCGAGATGGTGATTGAGAGAGAGACAGATATACACATGCACAGGTATACACACACACACTTTTTTTTTTTTTTCCCCTTGAGAAGAACACCTCTCAGAGGGTAGAAAGTCCTGACCGCTGGCCTACTGTGCATTACAGAATGAATTACATGTAATTTCTTTTACTGACATTTTCACTTAAAAATACTTCTAGACTCCCTCTTAAGCAAGTGAAAATATCTCCAGAGCTGTACGGCTGGCTAATTTGACTGTTAAGATGAGACACTTCAGCTGTCCCTACTACAGTGAATATTTAAATAATGTATACAAAGAGGAGGGTGTCAGCCAAGGAGACAGAGACCCACCTGAGGCAGGGTGCTCAGCAGGAGCAGTTAGGGAACTCAGAGATGTGGATTCAGCTCCTCAGGCAAAGCAGGGAAGTGAACCTGGCTCTCCCACATTCCTTGCAAGTGCCAGAGCCATCAGACTACAGGCAAGACAGAGTACACATACTGCATCTTTAACCTCCCCAATGTCTTTAAAAAACAACAGCAAAACCCCACAACCCTTCCATTCCCATTTTCCCACTCTATCATTTGTTAAAGATGACTATAAAATAGTTTCAAGGCAGGCCAAACATTTCATTAAATTCAAATTAATGTTTGGGTTTTCCCGATTGTTTATTTTAATGAGAATAACAAAGAAAAAGTAATTTTAGGTGGATCCAAGCTTATTTTCTTCAGAGGCAAACACTGGTTCAGAAAACAGCATACAGAGTTACAGCAACAGGTAAGCAGATATTGAAATGCTTATTAAGGAAACCTATTTGGGGCAAAATTGGTAGAAATTATTTGATTGCAGTCATATGAGGCAAATTTTAAATACCTTTTTTCATACATTTTGTAAAGAATTGCAAAACAGTATTGCTTAAATATGTCACAGCTGTTAAATCAAGCCTATTTTCAGCCATATTTGTCAAGCTATTGACTACTGAAATCCAGAACTGGCTTTTGTATTAAATGTGCAAGAAATCTGAGCACTCAGTGCAAAGATTACTCTAATACAACAAAGGAAAAATACATCTGTATGACACGAGTGACTGCAAACTTGCAGACATGACTCAAACCCACCCCCCCCCCCCCCAAATCCAACAAGCTTTCAGACAGCTATAACAGTGAACTAGTAGCCCCCTAAACCTTCAAAGAGGTATCATCCAACCAACCCTACATGCCCTTACAAAACAGAGGGGGAAGGGTAAGAGGTGATGGCTGGAAGGAAGGCAAGCATGCAGTAATAGCTAAACAGAGCACACAGGTTGCAAGTTTAAATATAGATTGTGGCAATATCATAATATTTCTTACATCAACACCACTGAAAACCAGTCTTACACAGGTTGTAGGAAAGACTGATACATCACTTTCCAATATGTTGTTCAATATTAAAAAAGTCACAATTTGTTCTGAATTATCACACTTGACTGAAAATAAGAATCTTCGAAACCAAGCTACACCCTTGTTGATGTTTTACCAGACCATCATTTTATGCTGTCTCAGCACAAAAAAAAAAAATCCACTAAAACCCAAAGAGAACAATACTATTATGATTAAACTATGTATCGCACTAATTTAGGATAGAAGTTCCTCTACTTTGGGGAACAAACAAACGCTTCAGTTGTTCCTACTACTTGTTGTGTGAGCTTTCAACTCGACTTCACTTGAAAGTCATCTTTAGATCACAGAAACTACCCATTTCTTTCACTAACTTGTTGAAATCGATCAATCCCATAGTTGTGAACTGACAGATATTGATGATTCCGGTAGCAAATGCAAAATAAACAAAGTTATACAGAAAACAATGCACATCTGCCATATGCAAGAGAACACCTTTTTGTGAAGCCTGTTTTGAAAGTGTACACTAGAACAGATGACGTTATGTAAGTTCCATTAATTTATGTCTATATTACTGAAGCACCTAGATTGTCCCTTCACAAGGAAAAACTGTCAGTCATGATGACGAGTTAAACACTATGGCCTAGGCTGTGCAAAATCCCCAACTAAACTATCTATAATACTGTTTTCTGGCTAAACCTAAGCTAATATGCATGTATCATCACACCCATTTGCATAAAGCAGATTATTTTAACTGTACATTACAGTGGCAACCCCATAGCATAATATGCTTGTTTTGAAGATGAGAGCTCCTGCAAATTAAAAGCAAGCCTCAAAAGACAGGATTTACAAAATCGTTACACACAGACTCTTCCCTGTGAATGGTGGTAAAATGCAGCAAGGTGTTGGGAGATACATCATCTGCATTCCTTAATTCAAACTTTCTCAGAGCCACAGAAAAATCTCCAAGAAGTTACTGTATTTAGGATTCTAAAAATTAGAAGAGAACAAATTCCAAGAATAAAGGGAGGAAAAAAGGATACAACAGGCTCAAAGGCCACATAAACCAGCAACTATACCCTACAACCTAAGAGTTTGCCAGGACTTTCTTCTGTAATACCTAGTTCTTAAGAATCTTTGATAGGAGGATATTCTACTTTACATGGATAGACAATTTTAAATAAACGAGTGAAATTCAGTTGTCCCTCTGTATTTCCAAAGGGCCTGTTATAAGCCTTAGTGATGTATTATGTGTACTGAAATAGACCCCCCTCTGAACTAGCCACCTGTGACCCCATGACACTAGCTGTTCTGCAAACACAATTCTTGCTCAGGTCATTTGCAGTCTAGGTTTAAAATGAGCCAGAATAGGGGGAAACACCAAACACAGAGAGAGGCCACAGGAGACAAGGCAACAGAAAGACAGTAAGCATTGCTTTAATCTTGTCACCTGTCTAACATTCCACTGTGATTCTATTTTGCCTTCCACATTATCATGTGTACCTGTCACAATTTTGCTTTATATAGAGTAACAGAAACTGGTTTACAGTTATCCAAAAGTACAAACGTTTAAAAAATTTTTCTCAGAGATGTTTAGCTTAGATATTTCATTTTATTTTCACTGTACGTATTCTCAACCCATTCTTATATTTGTCTGCTCTGAAGATCTTCTATGGAATAAAATTCTGCAATATCTGTTAAAGTTGGAAGATACTACCAACACTTTCAGTACCAAAGTAGATAGACATCTAACCATATAAAAACTTCCATCACCTTGCCTGTTGGCCTTAGACCTAGCAGATAACACTCAAATTTCTAAAGAGTCCACAAAAAAATCTCTGCTGCTTTTAATGTACAATGAAGAGATGTAAGATTTTTTTCTCCACCAGCCCAATCTCTATAGTAAATAATAACTAGAATGCCCCTGCCTAGCATTTGTACAAATATAGGCTTTCTAGTACCAGCGTGGTATCTTGGGCATAGTTGATAAAGTCTTCCAGACTTCACTACCCCCAGCATGTACTTCACGAACATCCTCTCAAGGGTGCACATCTGTGCTTTAAGTGAAATGCTGCATTAATGAAGATAACCTTTAGAAGAACAGAACTGTGCTCACTCTCTTGAAAAGCACAACACATACACACACAGAGTGGGCCATAGAGACAACACATAAGGAAAGCCTGAGAAGTATGTGTTTGTTATGGGGGCCTGAAAGACTTTATCTGCTTGGCATAGCATGACAGATCATGCTAAATTATTGAAATCTCTCAGTGATACCCCCCAGAAACAGAACACAGCTGCTTCTAACACATAAGCACCAGGGAGAAAGGATTAGGGAAAAAGGACTTTTTTTGTACACTGTAAAGCCAAACACTACTAAACTTATCAATGATAATTAGAATCACCATTAATGCAGAAGAGGACTTTTAGCTTTCACTACATTAATACATGTTTTTACACTTTTAGTAGGATGCACATGCAGCAGACAACTTTTAAGTGTATCAGACCCCCCCTGAAATCCAGTAAGCATTTAAGACTGACTGAGCAGCCGTCTCAGTGTAGCTCTAGAAGTTACGGAAGACATTTGTAAGCAAAATTACCACGTCCCCAGGAGAAAACGAGAGCAGCAGCGTACGAAAGTTAAATTCTGCAGTCCTTCCACATACCCGTCTCCTGAGCGACTCTGCCCAAGAGGAACGGGGCTGGGAACTTCACCCCACGCAGGACGGGATGCGGTGTTTACGAAGCCGCCGGCGGGCGCCTGCCCCCCTGGCGCCCCGCGTTCTCGGAGGGAAGCGCTTTTTCGGATTCCTGGGGCTTTTCGGCCCCAGCGTCCGACTGTGCCAGCCTGCGCCCGCGGAGCCCGCCCGCCGGTCCCCGCGCAGCCCCGGCCCGCACCGCGCGCTCTGCGCGGAGCCGCGGCCGCTCGCCGCGGGGGGCGGCGGGCTCTCCGCCCCTCTCGGGGCTGCCCAGGCCATCTTAGCTCGGGATGGCAGCGGCCACATGGTCCCCGCTCCCTCCGCCGGCGCGGCCCCGCCAGGTGTGAGCGGGAGAGGAGCCCCGGCGGGTCCCACCGGCCCGGCCCGGCCCGCGCACAATGCCGGGCGGGCTCGGGGCGCGGCCGGCGGCTCGGCGGGCACCCCTCCCCGGGCAGGGGACGGCAGAGCCTGCCGGGCGGTGCGGGCCAGCGCCGAGCCCCCCGGGTACCGGCGAACCACCTCCCCCCCCGCCGGGCCGCCCGGGCCCCCTCCCGGGGCCTCGCAGACAATGGAGCCAGCACCGCGGGCCTAGTCCCCGGCTTCCTGCGCCGCCCCGCCGCCGCCGCACGCCCCCTCCCCGGCCTGGCGGCGCTGTCCTGCGGGCGCTCCCAGGCGGGACGGGGCTCTGTCGGGCCCCGGACGCGGGGTCCCGGCCGCGCAGGCACCGGCGCTGCTGAGGCAAAACCCGGTGGCGGTTGCGGGGAGGGGGGGGGGGGGGCGGGAGAGGAGAGGGAAGGGGCGGCAGGGGCCGGCGGAGGGGGAGCCGGACCGCCCTGCCCGGCCCCCTCCCGGTGCTAGAACGGTGCCACTCACCTCCCCGGGCGGCCACCGCAGGGGAAGCCGAAGGTCGTCGCCGCCCGGCCGGGCCCGAAAGAGTTAAAAGGAAGGGCCGGGCGGGACCGTCCCATTCATTAGCCGGGCGCTTTGTCTCCGGCCGCCGCCGCCGCCGCGGCGCTGAGCAGGCTGCCCCGGCTGGGTCGCCACGGGGCGCGCTGCGCAGGCGCGGGAGGGTGGGCGGGGCCACGCACGACGCGCAATATGTCACGGCGGGGGGGGGGGGGGCGCAAAATGGCCGCCCCAGAGGTCGAGACGGGGACTAGGCGGCGGCTCCGCGTCCGGATCGGGGCGGCGGCGGCGGCGGCGGGGAGCCGGGTGTTCTGCTGCGCCGCCCCCGCGGTGGGGCCGGGGTGAGACGCGAGCCTCCCGCGCGGCGGTCGCTCGCCTCCCGCCCGCCTCATCCTGCGGCGGGGATGGGGCGCTGCCGGCTGTGGGGGCTCCTGCGGCGCCCGCAGGCCTCGGGGGAGCGGCAGGGCCTCGCCGTTCCCGGTCTCGTCGCGGGGGCTGGCGAGCGGGGCAGCGTCTGGCGGGCGGCGTGCTCGCAGCGGGCTGCTGGCGGGGCCGCGGCTTCCTCCGGCCCAACCCCGCGAGGAGAGGCCTTCACGGGCATCGCTCCGCCGGAGCGCGGGCAACGCTGCTGCTCTGAACACAGCCCTCACCTTTCCAGGAATTTCATCTTCGTTATGTGTATTCGCATTTGAAAAAAAAAACACCTTGATATGTGTTTGGGGTCTAACGCGCACTGAAGTTGGGCTCTGTTTTGCCGTACTTGCAGCCCCTGTCTGCCTCGGGAGGGGCAATTCACATCACACTTCAATACGATTTCTGTAGCCATCACAGGGAAAGCTGCGGTGGAATGGAGGGTATGTGTTGCATCCGTTCAGCGAAGCAGTGGCTTGCTATATGATTGACATCCTGGAATTTTTCTGGGTAAAGCTTCTCCAGTTTTGGTATTCATTTGTGGGTTGGTGGTTGTCTTCTCTGATTGAGCAAGATTACTCAAGGTTGTCAAGTGGGCTGAGTGATCCAGGTTTTTCGGGTGGGGTGGGAAGTGAAGCAGGATTGTTTGTTTTCATTTTTTTTTTTTTTTTTAATGTATGTCACATCAGCAGAGAGGTGGGTAAAGATTTGATCTGCTGAGATGACTGCCATCTGTTATCAAATTAACAGTGGCAGTCACAGATTTCTAATTCTTTGGCTTCAGTGTCACTGCTCATAATAACTTGGATCTTACCTTCGGGAGTAGAAGCAGGAGAAAAACATTAACAACACTGGTTTGGAAGAAATGCTAAGTTTTAGATTAAGACAGTGTATATAGAGAGAAATAGTGCTTAAGTAAGTATTTGGTTTTTGATCTGAGTTGTTTTCACCAGTTATTAGATTTTTCTTTTTCCTTGATATCTTTAAATTGAACAGATTCAGGTAAAAAAATGTTTTGGTAGATATATGGCAGTATATGAATAAATCACATGATCATTTCTTGATTTGAAGTAGTGGAGCTTTTGAACATTCTTCTGTGGTATTTCTGTGTTTGTACTTCTGTAGTACTTGTGGGGTCTTCTAAATGGATGGTGCCAGTCAACATAAATGATCTGTTACAGTTAATGCTTCCTTTGGAAATCTCATGTCAAGCTGTTTTGGGTTTTTTTTGTTTGTTTTGTCTTGCAATTTTTTTTGTGTGTGTTTGTTATTGTTGTAGGTTTGTTTTTTTTTTTTTTTTTATATTCATATGCTACTCGAAATCCCAAAGAAATAGCTATTATATTGTGTGCTGGCAGCTCTTCTTTTTCAATATTGGATCTTCTTAATTTACAGTGTGTTTTTACTGATACAGTTGAACTGCTGCTATAGACAATTGAGTAACTGTGGCCAAAGTGATTTGAGGTGAAGTTACTTTGACTTGCCCAGTTTCCACTGTTACAAAGTGTGTTTATATAAATACAACTACTTAAAAAAGAAGTTTGGTCTTGGCCAGATCTACCAACTAGACTCAGCAATAGAGGAGTGAGAGCTTAATTAAGAGCCTTCTATCATCAGTCTGTTTACAGGAAACTATGTTGATTATTTAACATGCAATAATAATAATAATAAATATATCCTCTTATAAACATATCTTAAAGAACTATAAAATTGTAACAGTTATGTTGAATTTTACTTGGAATTACATAGTTAGACTTACCACCCCATGGAAAGCCTAATAATATTAGAATACGTGGCTTTATTAACTGCCTTTTTTTCTCCTAACAGCTACAACTTTGAAGCATTTCACAGTTTGTAGTTGAAAATTTTACAGTTCATTAAAAAAGACTGCAAATTCACTTTGTGCTCTCCCACTGCATATAGCTCTTTCTGTATGCACCTCTCTGTACTTCTTTATTTTTTCATGCGTACTATTCTGAAAACTTCCTTGAATGTTAGTGAAAGTTGATTATTTCTTTAAATTATCTTCTGAGTGGCTTGTAAACCGATCAGTGATTCAGTATATAACCCACAGATCTGTATCACAGATGGAGTGCAATAGCTATAAATTCTTTCTGTTTTACAGAAATGCACCTGAAACTTCAGAAAGTAGGTATTCAAAATCTGAGCAAAGCTTCGGCCAGAAAGTCTTCTCACAAACAAACAAGTAACATGAAGACTAAAACAAAGAGATGATGGTGATCTGATGACAGGCAAAGGAAGGAGTAAGGAACTGCAATTCCTAGAGAAGGCTCCAGACTGCCAGCTTGTGGTGAATGTAGCTGCCCTGGTGTAATGATAGTCTAAAGGTACAGATTTGCCATAAATTCTGCGGTCTGAGGTGCAAGTATGTGAAAGGACATAGGTGTTTGGCAAGATGGATATTAGTACAGTCTGTGAAAGGCATCTTGACAGGAAGAAACCAAAACTTTTCTTAAATATTTAACTTCAGAAGGGTATTTTTTTTTCTTTGTTTTCCCCATTTATGCCTTTATAAACGTGTTATCTGTTTCAGATATTGTGAATAAACATCTTTATTTGCACGTTTAACTGAACCTGGCATGAATTAAAAGTGATCTGATATTAAATGGTTATAAAGAAGTAATTTCTTACACCAGTCCCTGGAGCAAACTGCAAGTACCTGGCTCCCTGTTTTGTTTTGTAGAATATAGGAGAGCTGAGAGAGCATGCTCCCAAATAAACCGTTTGGGTTGTCTGGAGAATAGGTGTTACAGGTTCAGAGAAGAAGGAAATGTCACTGCAGTAACCGTAAGTAACCAGCTCTCTGTCATACTCATTACTGGCGTGCACGTTGAACTCAGAAGGCTCCCAGGGAGGCTATAACAAGAGCCTAAAACCAGTTGTAAACTAGATTAAATCCTTGTATCCCTTCCTACTGTGACAATTTAAAATACACCTTAAACATACCCATTTCTCTGTCAATGTTATGTTCTGTGTTACTAGACAATTGTAGATGTTCAGTTGCTGCAGACAGCTTTGTGTTCTGTATTCCCAGAGTCTCTAGTCACTCAGCTATTCATCTTAACCTGTTTATCTTAATCTTTTGCTTCCTTCTATCAATTTCTTTCTTGATAGTAAAAATTGATAATTCAGTGATAAGTTTATGTAGTTCTGTCTTTCTCAATTTGTATAACTGGAAACATTAAATGTTATAATGGCATATTGATAATACCACTGTTGGGAGTATTAACCATTTTGCTACTGTTACCTTGTTTTAGCAGAAGTGGGCAGTTAATGTATTTATCTCCAAACCTGCTCCGATAAGCCTATTTTCCTTACTGAATCACTCAAACCTTTGGCTTCACTTCTAGCAACTTGTGCATCGGTGATGCATTTTCCATATGAAATCACGAAGACAGAAACTGTATCAAGAAATAGTAGTTCTTAAGTCAAACACAAAGAATTGCTGCCTTTTGCATGGACTGAGTTACCATATTTAATAAAATGATTTCTTTTCCTTCTTGTATTGGCTCTAGCCTCTTCCAGGACCATATGTCAACTTAATGATCAAAACCTTAAAATAGAGGTCAGAAATACTAAATTTGGATGTCCAAGTTAATATCACAAGGACACAATTTCTAAGAACACTTAACATAGGAGAGTGCTTTTATATATTTAGCATACATAACCCATTAACTTCAGAGGGCACTTGGCTCCACTTGTCAGATCCAAGGTATCAAGATGGGTGCTCAGGAAATAAAGAATGAGCAATTACACAATAGTTGTGAGCAACTTTAAGCAGCATTCACTGACAAAGCCATGATGCCTTTGTGCTTTTATATTAACAATCTCATTTGTTACAAACACAACTGTCTAATCTCTTTATCATTCTGAATTTATAGCACATCAGAGGTGTACATCAGTGATTTTTGACTTGAGCATACGCATGTTCACAGAATTTATTCATACTTACCCTTTATGTGGAGCAAGGATGGTGCTGGAACACGTCCTTCTGAAGTGCTCAGTTTGAAGTTCCTATTCTTGCATTTTTTGAGCCTATTGAGGTTCTGTCTGCACTATGTTATATATCAGAACTGGTTTATAGATGTGTGAGGTTGGAAGATCTCTTTATTATCCAGCACCAGGCACTGGCCAAGGTGGTAAATATGTCTGAGACAAAACAAAGAAAACTTGTGTAGGTTTCATTACTATTTGTTAAATAATACATACGAGTTGGGTTTCTCTGAACAGAGGAAGCTATGAGCCATGTCTGATTCTTTTGTTTGTTGGTTATTTTTGTGGATATCGTGTATTGACTCTTGCTTCTGACTTAGTTTTTCACTTTATTTTTCCTCACCAGATTTTGATGTTACCTTGCTTTATAGTCCTTCGCCACGTAAAGGAAGGCACAAGGTTTTAATTCTGAATGAGCCCATCTATTTTGGGATTTCTTCTGCAGTAAATGACTAGGGATTCTAACAGCGAAGCTTCCTCCATTGCACACCGTCTTAATCATCTGCAGACCAGGTTTGTCCTCTAGAATGAATGAGGAACAGGTAGTAAAGTAATTAAGACTGGATTTGTGGCTCTTTGCTGATTGAATTTTAACTTAATTATACAAAGGCTGAAGTATTAACTCATTGTAAACATTGTAGATTGTTTCTTGGAGATACACATTTGTGAGTGACCTAACTATGAAAACAACTTCACTCAGAGTTTATACTTCATCACATATTACACTTGCAAGTTTTGATACTGACAGCAAGGAATTGAGAATAGAGAAGTCACTCTAAAGGATTTAATAAATAAAATAAACTTTATATATTATGAAACTTTAAGGCAGTGAGTAACTTTTCTTTGCTTGGATGAAGGCAGTGTAGATGATTGTTTCCAGTGTAGAGGAAAGGATCAGGGAGTAGGAAGGGGTTATCAGAGAGAGTAATAATGTGCTTGCAGTAATATTGTTTACATGGGGTATGCTGGCTTAAGCAGTTACTCGAGTTCATGCTAAAAGTATCTTCTGAAATCCCAACCTGATGAGAACAACCACAGGGAGAAATTGAAGTACTGGAATGCTTGATTTGAGAAATATGTTGTGTATCAGATATTTGTGTGGAGAGCACTTTGTTTTCCCTTTGCTGTGGCTGCCTTTGACAAAAATTTTCAGTTCAGATACATGGGGGTTTTTTGTTGCATTAACTGTCTACAAATTATGTCTTTATCTGCTAGTGTGGGTTCCTCAGCATGTCTTGGGGAAAAAAAAAAAGTCAATATCCAACATAAATTGTTTAGCCACAGTGGCTTGTAATTCTTTACTATGCAAGTATGATGTTTTAAAAACTTCTCACATAGCAATTATTATTTTGCTTTTTGATTCCTACTCATTACCAGTGACATTTTGTCTTTGCCCATAACTTGGCTCAGTCAGTTAATTGATGTGAATTGACAGACGCTTCAATTCTAAACATGCAGCTTCTTCTGTCAGCTAAGCACATGACCAGGGTTGCTGGAGGGGACACTCCCAAACCCTGGATTTACTTTCCTGCTGCCTCCCTTGTGCTGGCAGTCATTTTCATCTGATCATGCAGGGAGGCAGTTCTGGGAGCTAAACAGAAAATCGGTGACTTGTAATTGGGAATAGCTTCTCATGAAAACCTTTGCAAGTGGAGTTGCTATGCAGAACATAATAAACGTACCAAACTGCAAACACTAGGAATTGAATAATTAATGCCAAAGAGGCAATGACGAGGGAGAAGGGGAATACTATTCTCTTGTTTATGGCTCTGTCTGCTCTTTTGTGAACAGCAATATCATTATACATAAGAATACAAATAACTCTGCTCCATAGGTTTGTGCTTGATAAAATAGTCTCCAGTAGATAGTAGTTTTGCTATTTGGAAGATCTACAGGTGAGTAGATGGGCAAGCTTTGTGATTTTGCTGCAGCATTTTGTAATTTGAGGATGTTTTGTTTTGCTGAAGTGTAGTTTACATATGCTCTCATGTATATTGTAATATTGAAGATTTTTTTTCTTTTTTAATGTTTGCAATGCACATAGGGGTGAGCTCAAGCTCAGCCTTCCATCATGCAGCAGTTTTGTGCATGTATGGTAGAGAGTGTCTTATAACTGCAAAATCCCAAAGGTACATGATGTTAAGGGATTCAGGCTAGAGAGTGGGAGGATAAGTAAGGCAGGAAGTAGGTTTCCCTGTCACTTGTGTATCTGTGAAGTGCTTAACATATCTTTCTGTCTGCAAGTGACAGTCTACATACCCCTTCTTGCAGTAGGTGACTCCAAACAGTAGTTCCTGCAAATGCTTAAATGGAAATGGGGTAAGGGCCTTTGCATAGCATCTGTACAGCTTAAAGGACCACTCTGTCAAATGATCTTTAAGTATTATCTGTAGATAACATTCCATAGGACTGCTTCACAGATGCAACTCACAGAGGTGTTTCTTAACAAGCACACTGATGTAGCTTGAGTTCTGGTGGAGCTCTGATGATAAAAGGGCTCTGTTTTTATCAGTACCGTAAAAGGCATTGACTTAGCCTCCGGTCTTTTTTAAAACTCATGTTTCAATGAAGACCATTTGTTTAGATCGACACGAACTGTTCTAAAGGGTCATCTTACCAATTTTATAAATAGAGAACCACTTTGATTCTGTGCATGAGAAAGATGTTATGTTCAGGAACTAAGAGTTGGTGAGTCCATAAGAAGCAAAAATCTTTGATTCCTTAGCATTTGGTAAACATTCATGAACACCAATATTACCTCATCTTAACTCACCCTCTTGTTATAATATGGCTAAAACTTCAGGACCAGAAGGTTGAAAAGGAAAAGGCAGACAATTCTTGACCAGAGAACAAGGTAGATATTCAGTAAACATGGAGTGTTAAAAAGGGCTAACACTTTTATTCCATATTTGAAGCCAAAAGGTTGATCCCTGTTCTGAAATGGTCATCTAGGACTTTGGACCGTATATCCCACTCAGTCTAGTATGAAGAAGTCAGTCTTTCTGCCAGTGTATCAATGATAACTAGGAGATGGATCAGTGATACGTGGATTGGTCTTTAAATATAGTAGTTTGCAAAGATCAGCCAGAAGAGGTGGAGGGATACTACGCTACCTTGCAGACCAAAGATAGAGAATTGTGGTTTTGTTTGTCAGCACACTGCTGTAACATGTCTTTTGATAGGGTTGAAGCAACTTTTCCACAGTGCATGCTGTTCTGGCTTCTGTGAGGTTTGGGAACAACCTTTCTTTCAAGAACAACCAGCCTTGCATGGTCATGCTCGCAAGTACTTTACCAGTGCCATATACTGTGACTGATGAGGTAAGTGAGATCAGAAAGCAGCCCTTTGCAGGATGAGAGAACTGTGGTAATGTTGTATCTTATGAGGTGGTATTCTGGAGGGGAATATTAATCATGCATAGATGAGTCTGAAAGTGTAAATCATATAGTGGGAAGTGAGACTTCAAAACTTTATAGGGGGTAAATTGGCTTGAGGCATCATACAGAGGCATCACGTCACTTAGCAAGATTAGGCAGATTTGTCACTGTGATAGGAAGAAGACCCACGGATGCATGTTACAGCAGTCCAAAACCTTTCCTGAAATGGAAAGATTCTGGCAGGTTCTAAAGAATGTGTGGAGTGGGCTCTGCCTCTTGCTTGTCCGTTCAGCAGCCAGGTGTTCATACCAGGGGAGCTACACAGAGTTCCATCCAGGGAAGATCAGCACCACTGCCAATATTTAAATGTTGCAGCAAGTCTGAGTTGATCTTTATTAATCTGTAAAATGAAGGCGACACCATGTACGTGATACCCTTGAGCAATGTAGAAATGTGTCTTGCGAAGTTTGATTCTGCAAGAAAAGAGGGGAGGATGTCAAAGCAGATAAATAGCATCTGTGTTTGTTTTCATGATCATTACTTCCTAAAGTGTTTCTTTTGAGAATTGGATAACTGGTGCAGGTGAAAGCTGGTAGGCAGAAGATACCCCTTCTGTGCAAGTCTTCCATGCAGGGTGTCAGCAGTGGCAGCTTGAATAAAAACTTGATGCAGCCAAGTAGGGGTATGTAGATTCTGATGGACTGAGACTGAAGGCCTGTGCACATGTTGAGCAAGTGCCAAAAAAGGTGGTGAGGGTCCTGTTGCTATCAAACTGTGGTTCAGAGGGCCAGCTATTTTTTTCCTGAAATTGTGCAGTATCCCAGTAGAATTGTTTCCTCTTTGTCCAAAAGTAGAAAGCATACTATTTCGAGGCACGAAGTCTCCCTTATGAGATGGAAAAGGCCAAGGAAACAGATCTTTGAGATTACAGAAGCATGTGCTGAGGACTGGTCAAATGCCCTGGACAATGCTACATACCGTTGCATTTTGAAACAATGTGGACTCGTATACTAATATTTAACATGGAGGGGTTGATGGTCCTGATCTGGTAGCCTGTTATAAGGTGAGTGAAAAATGATTTGAAGGTGTAAGACTCCTAATACTGAACTGTGTGTTGAGCCTGCCCTGATCTTTTTGCTGTTGCTCTGAAGTGCTGTAATCCACAAATGATGGGCATTCTGTGCCAGAGCCTGGACAGTCCACAGCGAAAACTCCTCATACTTTCTTACTGAGAGTAATTGGGAGGATCTACAACACTGATGATGCCTGCCAGCATATTAGAAATTTGAGGTGGAGACACTGTCTCCAGTATGAGAACCAGGAAATTAAGCTCAGCAGTTCTATGAAAATTCTTTAGAGACTCTGCGGAGCAGGGAGGCCTTTCGGTATTAGGCTACTGTGATTAGAAGCTGTTAGGAGAATCTGTTAGGAGATCAGGTTCTGGCAGCATAGCACACTGTTGTGATTGATTCAGGCTGCGCTATGCGTCCTCGGTCAATAGGTTGTGGGAATCAATGCTGCTGCTGTCTTTTTAATGAAATCATTTTGGAACTGCCGCTTCCTGTTCTCATCCGTGTGAAGTTTAAGACTTTACACCTTATGGATGGAGTGTTTTTACCAAATGTGCCCTATGCTCAGGCTAGGCAGAGCTGGAACAGGAGTCTTAAGAAGTCATGTAAGTAGAGCTTACTAGAGAGAATAAAGCATTTCAACTACAAAAAGATGGTTAAATGATGCAAATACCAATAAGGAACACTGCATTACTGAAGGGACGTCCAGCTAAGGAATGCTGTAGTCTACCTGGCAGGGAAAAAAAAACCTGGAAAAGTGCCAGACTTACTTGGGCATCAGACGTGAGAATATGAACACCAGCATGTTCTCTGTGGAAAACTTGTCTCCCGTTAGAAAGCATTTGTACAGCTGCAGGGCAGATACACATGGATTATCACTTGAAAGATAAACCAATGTGTTTTCTATCATAAATTATATTTGGTTATTATTAGCTTCTTGACAGCATAATTTCTAGTAATTTTTATACTTTGCTCACTAATGTATATATTGAGTTTGCTGCACCCTCTTTAATACCTTTCTATTAGAAGCTGAATTCCAGTGCAACAACATTAACTTAAATCAGCA